TATATATATATATATATATATTTATATAAACCAAATTCTCCCTTTCCTCTTTAAGCCCTAAATCCCTAAACTCACGCACCCGAGCTCTGCCTCCCTTCCCTCTCCCGTTCGCGTGCCTGGCCTTTCCCTTTCTCGGTCTCGAGCCAACCGAGCTCCTCCTCCTCCACGCGAGAGAAAGTTGACTTCTAATTCGTCCTTGCCCGACACTTTCTGCCCGCGACCCTCCTTCTCGAAGCCGTGCCAGTCTCTTCAAGCTGTGGTTTTTCTTTTCTTGGTAGTTTGACTCTGGGAAGCTGACTCCCTGGTACACTTGAATGACAAACTCTCTCTTCTTCCCGATACTTTCCTCGTTGCCACTAGGCTCGCCGCTCGGTCCTAGATGTTTCGGTTGCTTCGCCTTCTGTGAGCAGGGAATGCGTCCTTTTCTTCTTTGGCCCGATTTGAGTACCGTGGTGGATTGGGTGATCTTCTTTCTCTTCTCCTCTTTTTTTTGCCTATAAACATAGTTTCTTTTGGAATTTAGGGGGTGGTTGAGAGGGGTGGAGATTTTGGCTGTGAGAGAAGTTTGGGAAGGAGATTTCTGTGAGAGCATCTCCTTGAGGTGGTTTCGTGTGTTGTGGTGCTTTACATTTGCATCAAAAAAGGTACCTCTTCCTCCCCCCTTTTCTTCGGTGCCTTGCTCTCTCGCAGTTTTCTCTCTGTCGAGCCTCCTCTTGCTCGGTTAAGTGGATAGTGCAGCATGCTTATATGATACCACACTTATATTTTCTATGAAATACTTGGCACTCAAGGATTTAGAAATGGAAATGTGAGCATGTGTTAGGAATTAAACTTGGATAGTTGCTTAAAGTGGTGGAGATATGACATGTTTTCTGTTTATCGTCTCATATTTATGTTGGCAGCGATTTGGATAATTAAAGCATGGCTTTGGAATAATTTTTGCTCCTCTTGCAAGCATTTTAGGATGTGTATTATGAAGCTTTTCATTTATTTTCGTTTAGCATGAGATATTGAAGAGTTTATTTAGCCTTTCATGCATGCTAGGGGGTTTCAGCTTTGGCATCTTATGACTTTCTCTTGCTTAAAATGAATGCTAGAAAGTTCACTTTACTTTTTTATTCATATATGGGCGCTCAGTTTAGCTCCTGCGGCTTTTCCTTACTTGAAATATATGCTATGAGAAAATTTATTTAATTTGGAATTTGGAAAGTCTTGTTTTGAGGGCTTGGTTTAGCTCCTCGTGAGG